CTAGGCTGAGTCCTGCCCCTGCCTCGGCCTCGACCTCTGCCCCGCATAGGAGCTATCACTGGAGGCTCTGGCTGCTGCTCAGCTGAAGAAGCGGTACGTATTCTCGCCATCTGCGAGAGAATAAAAGTAGAAGGTTTCAATCAGTATTGAGAAAGCAAAATCGCACGACAAAGAAGAATAGAAGTGAAACTTGTTCCTAAACTTCATAGCCTCTGGAAGATAAGCACAGACGTCTCCGTACCTTTCCTCCACACTCTACTAAGCTTGCTCGTGAATCGTGAGACCTAGACAACCTAGTGCTCTGATACCAACTGTCACGACCCGAAATTTCCCACCGACGGGACCGTGATGGCGCCTAACAATTCACTTGCTAGGCAAGCCAACATTAGAGAATCATTAACCAATTCCTTATCTAAGATAAAATATAATAAGTGCGGAATATCATAAAATTGTATTAATTACTACCACCCGGATCAGGAGTCACAATTCACGAGCATTCTAGAACTTACTACAAGTAATAGTCTGAAAGAAACACAACTGACTGAATGAAAAAAAACAGTAGGACATAAAAAGATAGACGGGGACTTCAAGGTCTGTGAACACCGACAGATCTACCTTGAGTCTCTGGATAGCGGACCAATAGAAAATCTCGATCAACCTGAGCCGGTATCAAAATCTGCACAGAATGTGCATAGTGCAGCATCAGTACAACCGACCCCATGTACTGGTAAGTGTCGAGCCTAACCTCGACGAAGTAGTAACGAGGCTAAGGCAAGGCACCTACAATCAACTTGTACAATTTAACAGTGTATATAAAATAACAGAGATGAAGAACTAAACAGGAAATGTCGGGAGGGGAACATACTGAGGGGAATACAAGATAAAAAACTATAACAGAATGATCACTGGAGCAGTCAATATACCGTGAATCAACAGGAATAGTGAATACAGTAAGAAAAAATGCACGGCATCACCTTCGTGCTTTTACTCTCAATCTCACCATAAAATTAATAGAAATGACACGACATCACCCTTCGTGCATTAACTCTCATATCGTGGCACGACATCACCCTTCGTGCATTAATACTCACAATATGGCACGGCATCACCCTTCGTGCATTAACACTCACAATATGACACGACATCACCCTTCGTGCATTAACACTCACAATATGGCAAGGCATTACCTTTCGTGCATTAACACTCATAATATGGCACAGCATCACCCTTCGTGCATTAACACTCCCCCTTACCATAATGCAATGCATAAATAATAACAGGGAGATAGATTAACAAGTACAAACCTTACTTCAACATTTAGTTCCATAATATCAATCTCAACTTTGAAATAAAAACTCAATTATCACCAGAAAATCCGTAAACATGATAAGAACGATAAATTGAACAATACTAGTATAACACGTAGCAATTTGGCATAGGAAAGAGATAATATCAGAAAAACATAGAAACATGGAAAAACGGGTAAATTGGCGGCGCATAGGTACTCGTCACCTCATATATACGCCGCTCACATGAATTTTACTTCGCAAATAATCTAAGGTTCCTAATTCCCTCAAGTCAGGGTTAGAGACAACACTTACCTCGCTCCGAAGGCCACTTAATTCTCAATCACAGCTTTTTCTTTGGAATTCACCTCGAAAACACTCGTATCTATTCAAAAATGACTCAATAATATCAAATATTGCTAAAGGAATCAATTATATTGCATAAATTAAATTTCCCAAATTTTTCTCCAAAAAGTCGAAAAATCGACCCTAGGCCCGCTTGGTCAAAACCCGAGGTTCGGACCAAAATCTTTTTACCCATTTACCCCCAAGTCCGAATATGTAATTAGTTTTGGAATCCGACCTCAAATTGAGGTCTAAATTCCCGAATTTCCGAAATCCCTATTTTCTACCCTAACCCCTAATTCTACCATAAAAACTCTAGATTTTAGGTTGAAAATTCAAGAAATGTAATGGGTAATTGAAAGAAAATGATTTAGAATCACTTACCAACAATTTGGGGAAGGAATGACTCTTGAAAAATCGCCCTTCACCGTTTGGATTTTGAGAAAAATGAGTTTTTGGGGAAAAATCCCGTTTTGGATTTTGTTAAGTGCTGGGCGAGAGTGTTCATCGCGTTCGCGATGNGCCTCATCAGATTACTCTTCGCGTTCGCGAGAGGACTGTCGCGAACGCGAAGAAGGATATGACAGACATTAGAATCTCGAGAAAACTAGATTTTTCCCAAGTCCAAAACATCTCGTGCCTATCTGAAACTCACCCGAGCCCTCGTGGCTCCAAAGCAAATATGCACAAAGTCCAAAAATATCATATAAACTTGCTCACGCGATCAAATCGCCAAAATAGCACCTAGAACTCTAAATTTAGCACCAAATCAAATGAAATTCTCAAGAACACTTTAAAACTTCTAATTTCTCAACTGGACATCCGAATCACGTCAAATCAACTCCATTTCTCACCAAATTTCACAGACATGTCTTAAATATCATAATGAACCTGTATCGGGCTTCAAAACCAAAATACGAACCCGGTACTAATAATGCCAAACATCAATCAATTCTTAAAAAATAATTAATTTTCAAACTTTTAATTTTTATAAAAAATTCACAACTTGAGCTAGGGACCTCCGAATTCGACTCCGGGCATACGCCCAGGTCCCATAATTCGATACGGACCTACCGAGACTGTCAAAGCATGGATCCGGGCCCGTTTACCAAAAATATTGACCGAAATCAACTAAAATTAATTTTAAAGCAAGAATTCTTATTTTCATCAGTTTTCAACATAAAAGCTTTTCAGAAACCTGCCCGGATTGCGAACGCAAATCGAGAAGGATAAAAATGAGATTTTTAAGGCTTAAGAGCGCAGATACGAGTTCTAAAACATAAGATGACCTTTTGGGTCATCATAGTTAATTTGACCTATTAATTCGTTTACTTAATGCTGATAACTTCTTTCGTTTCTTTAATTTATAATCCATATATATATATATATATATATATATATACACATGTCAAAGATGTTTAGTATTAATTCTTCTATTTTTCATTCATTCATCACTAATAATGCATGACATAGATTAATCGATATAGGTCGAGACATTTTATTTTTAATATTAATCGATATAGGTGGAAACGTTTTGTTTTTAATATTCATCGATGCATTTAAGTAAGTTATAAGTCGATGACTCAATTTACAAATAGATATATTTGATGATGATCAATTATATATACTAATTAGATTATTACTTTTTCACAAGTCTATCCCCAAAAGAACCCGACCCTGTGGTCCTAGCGCTTCGTGTTCCTATATATATATATATATCTACACACACACACACACACACTTTGTTGTACTATTTTAACTATATAACTTGTTATAGTATATGTTAGTGTATTCATTAAAGTGTTAACAGATTACTTTTATATTATTTAGATAGTAAATATTAAGTGATTCAAAAGTTTGACCATGTTGACCTAATAACCGACCAACTTTGATCAGTTATTTTCCAGAAAATAAAATATACCAACCAAAGTTGGTTGGTAAATGCTTCCCCTGCAATAACCGACCAACTTTGGTCGGCAATCTTAAATATAAATTATTTTAATTTTATAAAATATTTTAAATAATAATATAATTATTAAAATTTAAAAAATTGGGTTCACATTACCGACCAAAATTGGTCGATAATCAAAAAGTTGCTTTGACTAAGCAAGTCTGACCATTTCGGTCAACGTTTTGATCATTATACCGACCAACTTTGGTCGGTATTTAATTTTAAAAAAATATAAAATATTTATTTTTGTTTCCGTCCGTGTTGGACGGTTTTTTAGTCGATTTATTTGACCGACCAACGTTGGTCGGTATGGCTTGGTCGGTTTTTTCCTGATTTCTAGTAGTGCGTTCATATGCGTACTAGATATGAACACACTAATAATTTAGTTACATGCAACTTCAAAATGTTTAATCTCTTAAATACATCAGGTACTTATTCTTTTATTAATTATAATTAATATATGACTCCCTCCGTCTGATTTTATGTATCAGTAATTAAAAAAAGACTTTTGTAGTCTAAAACAAGCCATGTACATTGTGCGCAGTGGCGAAGCCACATGGTGGGTGGTCAGTTGACCACCCTTGTCGAAAAATTACACTGTGTATATAGGTAAAATATTATATTTTAGAGGTATATAATACATATTGAACACCCTTTGTCGGGATTTTCTTTTTAATTCTTTCAAATTTGAATACCCTTGGAAAAATTCCTAACTTCGCCGCTGATTGTGCGGCTATAACACCTCGTTAGAGATAAAATGAAAAGTTTAAAGTTAAATTATTTATAAATATAAAAAATATTTTTTTTTTTAGGATAGACTAAAAAAAAAGTGTGCCTCATAAATTAAAAAGAGGGTATATTTTATTTTCATACGGATCTTACTTCTCTTCCCAAAGATGAATGAGCCCAATGTTCACCTTGGAGATATTGATCAAAATTTCAGAAAAAAACGCCAAGTTAAAAATTAAATTATGCCTAAAAAAAAGGAAAAAACATACAATAAGAGAACCCATTAAACCACAAACTTTAGTGTGTAAAAAAAGCAATAAAGATATCAGGAATTACATGTCAAAAAAGAACAAAAAGCAAGTAAAGTTACATTCCTATGCCAAAAAAAGAAAAAGGAAGGTATAGTATTAAAAGAAAAAGAAAAAGAAAAGCGAATCAACGGCTTTTTATGTACAAAAGATCATTTTTTCTTACTTGGGTCAAAAGTCAGAAACTATAAGTGACGGTTCCAAACTATTTATTCAAGTTATGTCGACCGAATCAACAAAGTAACTGAATCCTGGTATAATTAATTTACATTCGCGCTACATGTTCCGCCACAAATATTTCTTCATTCCTAATATTCGAACTTGAGATTTCTGATTAAGACCGAAATCGTTCATCCCACCACACTTTTTGGTGGTACGTTTTCATTTTTGTCCTCGTTGATGCTGAGGAGGAAACAGAGTCCTATCATCCATAATCAAATTCTCAGAAACCTCCATATTAGATCTAGAAGAACTGTTGCCTAGTCTATGAAAAAAAGCTTCGTGACCAATAGTATGATCCTGAGAGGGAGGATTTGTGTAGGGAAAAATTTGTTGTACTTCCTGCTGAAACTGTATATTATAAGCACTAGGAGTAGTGTTAGGATTCACTATCTGCTGATGAAGATTAATATTCCTTGACCCAAATGTATCGGATTCAAGTCCCGAGAATGAAAATGGTTCACTGTGGCTGCCAGTGAACTGTTGCACCATGGCTCGGAAATTGGTGGTGTTTGTATTGAATACAGTTGTTGGGGTTCGCCTTGAAGCCCTGGATCTTCTCCTAATGGTCCTGGAACCACGGCCCAACGGGCCGTGATGGTGAAGACTTGTGGAGGATGTTGTGGTTGTAACCACCGTGGCATCGGAGAGTTGGCTGCCGCCGAAGACGGTGGTGGACGGCGGAGCGGTTTGAGGTTGTTCTGAGAGGGTATGTTGATAGATTTGTAGCCAGTCAGTGGGATTTGGCATGGTTTCACTCATGGTCAAAATATTAGAAGAAAGAAAGTGAGGTAAATATAGCTTTTGAAATTAGAGACTTTGGTTTAAAACAAGAAAATAAAAGAATAGGAAAATCATTAAAGTTTATAGATAATTTTTTTTTTTTTGCCAGTCAAAGTAAATGACTTGTATGTTGGGGCAAATCATGACCAACAGGCAACGACCTCACTCCCTCCTTTGGGGGTTATATTTTCTCTTGAAGAGAAAACTTGTCAAGTGAGGTGGTGACCATTCTTTCTAGTCATATATTTCCTTTTTTCTCTCAATTTAAAAAAGTTTGAGAACTGTTTGGTGGTTATGAGTTGTTATTTTGAAAAGCTTTCTTGTTTTTCACCCAATATATTATGTTTTTTGGTTTCAATTAATTCAAATTCGCACTACTTAAGGTTCGTTAAAGGGGAAGCGTTCTCTACCAGTATTTTTTCTATTCACAGCGGGATTCGAACCCGAGACCTTTGGTTAGGATGGAGGTATCTTATCTATACCACCATAACTTTTGATCGTTTAAATTTGAAGCACTTGTTACTTAATTTTGGTTCTTAAGAATTATAAAAATTGTAAGAAAAGAAAAAAAAAATTCCTACGTATTTTTTACAGAGTATTATACGTTCGCAATACAGTAGCGCGAGAAAAATTAATTGCTCCATATTAAGATTTGTATATGCATCAGACAGACCATTTTGAACTGTATTAATTATCTTGTAATTTAAACTATAGCGAGCAGCTTTAATCCTCAAGTTTACTTCGAAAACATTACCCAAAAAAAAAAAGTTTAATCCGAAATCACTGAAAACTATTTATGTAAATCCTTATTACCAATTGGATTTTAATAAAAGATAGTTCAGTGATCCAAGAATCACAATTTCAGCCATGATTTTGTGTGTCATACTTTATTACTCCATCATTTCTACCTTAATTGATTTTTTAACTAAATTGTTTTCATATATATATTAAGAAATTCACCTTTTAACATTAATTAATAATAAAATTTACCATATTAACCTTTATTATGCCTCTTTAATTTGTTCATTGGAAATATAATAGATACGCACTCCGAGACTTTTTACTGCAAGGTCAACTTTGAAAAAAAGAAGTTAATTCCTTTTTGATATCTAAAAAAAATCAAATATTATGAACTACAAAAAAAAAAGAGGCTAAAAATCAATTAAATTAGATCGAATGAAGTATTTGATTGGATCTTACATTCATATAAAAGGAAAGAAAACTGCTCTATTTTGAATATTCAACAATGTTATCTGATTTATTAGTAATAGGCTGCCAGGGAGTAAGGCTTCTGGAAGCAGTAATGCCAGCTTAGTTAAAGAATGTTAAGTGCTGGTTTCCAGGAAGCAACAGGTCTGAGATGGAGATGAAAGCAATGACGACAACTAAGGGGCGGGCTACCGAAGCGAATCCGAAATTTAAAGTTTATATGTACCTACAATGACGTTAGTTATTATACGATCTTAATAAATGGGTTACAATCAAATATTTGATATATTTAGCGTATTTCTTAATTATGTAAAGTATCTGACAAAAGCTATTGTGTTTCAGTGAACTTATAAATGATACCCTAGATTTCGGGCTACGGTATTAGGTATGAATTCAGACAAATCTATTAACTTTTGCTTAGACTGTATAAGTATTAAAAATTCATTGAATATGTATAAATATTTTGAGAACTCAATAACTAAAATAAATTATGGGTCGATGACAAGTTCAAACCTGATAAACTTTAAATCTTGACTACGCCTTTTTAGGACTAGCTCGAAACAAAATGTTAGCATAAATGGGAATCCAAATACTAGTACTATAGTTATATTTAGTTTATTTGTTCCTTGTCATTGTCAATTGCAATTTTGGTCACTATGAGTGCGTAGTAGGTGGTTACAAAGATGACTTTAACCTGGTCTTCGTGACTTTTTGGAGTCCTGTAAAAATGTTGTCGGCTTTTCTTAATTTTTTTGGTCTTTGGCATGTTTAGTTTGAATATGAAAGACATTATTTCAAAAATTTAGTGTCACGACTCAAAATCACACCTGTCGTGATGACACATATCTTAATACTAGACAAGCCGACAACCTCAATAAATTACAAATTATTTTAAGATTGAAAATATAATATCTAAATTTAATAGAAAATCCCACACATACTGATATAAATACACTCCCAAAATCCGGTGTCACTGAGTACATGAGCATATAAATGATAACAAAGTCCGACTGCTAAAAACACTGTCTAAAAATATAGAACAATACAAAAACTGAAAGGAAAGAGAGTCAAGGTCTGCGGACGTCAAACAGCTACCTTGATAATCTCCAACAGATAAAACTCCGAGAAACTAGCAACCGTCATGTCCGGAAGTACCCGAATCTTCACACGAGGTGCATGGTGTAGTATGAGTACAACTAACTCAGCAAGTAACAATACTAAATAAAGAACTGAAAGTAGTGACAAGCTTCACGACTAAGTCCAATTACAGTAATTTCCAACATAAGAACGGAGACATGCTTTCAAGCTCAACATTTAAGACCCAAATAGTAATTTCATATCAAGTTCAAATGAAACAGAAAATAATATCTCTCAGAAAATTTCAAAACAATGATATATGCCAGCTGAAGTGCAAAATTAATGAAATCAATGCATCCTCTCAGAACAACAGTCACTCAGTCCTCCCATTCACTCCAACCTCACAAACACTCTTTCCTCACAGTCACTCATTCCTCTCAGTTACTCAGCACTCGCACTCAGTAGGTACCTGCGCTCACTGGGTGTGTGTATAGATGTCGGAGGAGCTCCTTCAGCCCAAGCGCTATAACAAGATAATCATGGCATATAACAATGAAACATGTTGCGGGGTGCAGCCCGATCCCATAAATATTCTCACAATCAAGCCCTCGGCCTCACTCAGTCATCAACCTCTCTAGTCTCTCGGGCTCTCATAAATTATGATAAGCAGCCCAAACAGCAATGATATGATGCATCAATAATGAACAATAAACACTAAGATGAAATGTGTAAGTAAAACTGTGACTGAGTGCAAAATAATATTTTGCAGATAATTCAACAAGTACACGACCTTTGTGGGTCCCTATAGTGTAAACACATGTTTTAAACATGATTTATAGATTGATTTCTCTAATACGTGGAAAATGTACGGATATCAACAGATTATTCAACCACACAGTTCTATGGAATTTATCAAGTCACAATTCATATGGTGCACGCCCACACGCCCGTCACCTAGCATGTACGTCACCTCAAAACCAATCACATATCACATAATCCGGGATTTCATACCCCCAGTACCAAATTTAGAACTGTTACTTACCTCAAACCATGTAATTCTTTATTCTACTATGCCTTTTTCTCGCGAATCGGCCTCCGAACCGCCTCGAATCTAGTCACAATTAATTCGATTCAATCAATACAAATTATAGGAACTGATTCCAAAATAAAATACAATTTTTCCAACAAAATCTAAAATTGCACTCAAAAATTGCACGTGGGGCCCATGTCTCGGAACTTGACAAAAGTTACAAAATATGAACGCCCATTCAACCACGAGTCCAACCATATAAATTTTACCAAATTCCGATAACAACTTGACCCTCAAATCCTCAAATCTTATTTTCAAATCTATAGGCCCAATTCCTCGAATTTCACCTCAAAAATACGTAATCTAATCGGAATAATTGATGATAATTCAATATTATTGACTAACAATTATCACAAGTAACTTACCTCGAGATTTCCCGTGATTTCTCGCTTAAATATCGCCCCAAAACCGTGTTGGAAATGTCCAAAAATGGGAAAACTCGGAAACCTTTCGAAATATATACTGTCCAGGGGTTCTGCACCTGCGGCTCACTTAGCCGCTTCTGCGGTCTCGCATGTGCGAGAAACCAACCGCTTCCCAGCTTCCCTTGCCTATGCATCTGTGACCTTGGTGTCGCTTTTGCGAGTTTCTGTCCGCTTCTGCGGACTTCCCCCTTCTGCGATGCCAGGCTCGCTTCTACGAGCTCGCACATGCGAGCCAATTTTCCAGGTGCGATTGCATCAGTAGGCAGCAACAAGTTTCAATTGTTCTAAGTCCAAATTTGATCTGTTAACCATACGAAACTCAGCTGAGGCCCCCGGGACCTCAACCAAATATACCAATAAGTCCCAAAATATCATACGAATTTAGTTGAACCTCTAAATTACATCAAACAACGCTAAAATCATGAATCATACCCCGATTCAAGCTTAATGAAACTAAGAATTTTCAACTTCTATATTCGATGCCGAAACCTATCAAATATAGTACGATTAACCTCAAATTTGGCACATCAGTCATAAATGATATGACAGACCTACTCCAATTTCCAGAATCGGATTCCCACCCCGATATCTAAAAGTCAACTCCACGGTCAAACTTCCTAGCTTAAATTTCTATTTTATCCATTTCAAGCCTAATTTAACTACGGACTTCCAAATAATTTTTCGGACATGCTCCTAAGTGTAAAATCAGCATACGAAGCTATTGGAATCATAAAAATTCTATTTCGGGGTCATTTATACATAAGCCAACATCCGGTCAACCTTTTCAACTTAAGTTTTCATCTTGGAGACTTAGTATCTCAATTCATTTTAAAACCTCATCGGACCCGAACCAATTACCCCGGCAAGTTACATAACATCTGTAAAGAATAAATTGAGCAGTAAATGGGGGAACGGGACTGTAATACTCAAAACAACCGGCCGGGTCATTACATTCTCCCCCTCTTAAACAAATATTCGTCGTCGAATGGGTTTAGAACCATACCTGGAGTCTCAAATAGGTGTTGATACTTGTTCCTCATCTACCGCTCATTCTCCCAAGTAGCTTCTCCGTCTGGCTGGCCTTTCCACTTTACTTTCACTGAAGCTATATTCTTTGACCTTAACTTTCGAACCTGCCGGTCTAAAATGGCCACCGGCTCCACATC